AAAAAAACAAAACAAAACAAAAAGAACCAACTGCCGATACACACAAACTAATGGATAAATCTCAAAAACATTATGTTGAACAAAAGAAGTGAGATCCAAAGGGTATTATATTATTCCATTTATATGAAATCCAAGAATAGGCAAAAACCAATCTAAATGTCAGAAATCAGAAAATGGTTGCTTTTGAGGAAGTAGAACTTACAGTAATGGGGCATGAGGGAACTTCCTGAGGTGATGGAAATGTTCTCAATCACGTTTTGGGTGTTGATTATATTGGTGTATTCAGTTATCAAAACTCACCAAACTGAACATTTCTGAAGTGTGCATCTGAGTACATATCAATTATAACTTAAAAGGGGAGCGGGGCGGTGCAGAGAGAGACAGACAATGTCCTTTATTGATCTGCCCCTCTTTTCCTCCTTTCTTCCTGCCTGGAATGAAGAAGTAACACTTAGCACCTCTAGAACCTTCCTAGACCATGGAGATAAAATCCGAATGCCAATGATGAAACAGAGAGCAGAAAAGGCCTGGATCTCTGATGTTTGTGGAGTGGCCAGACCAGCCCTGCATTGCCTCTCTGGACTTCTTTCTGTGAAAGAAAATTCCCCCCTTTTTCAGGCCACTTTCTGATATTTGCCACTAAACACAATTCCTGAGAGTTACAATCAGTGAAAAATTCCTTCCAATGGTTAAATTATTTTTGGCTATGTTAGATTATAGTTGGAAACTACACTGAAATATTTTTAAATGATATAATAAAAGCTGTTTGCCTTTTGTATAGATTGATGCTTTTGGTGTATAATAGTATTAAAAGTTACTACACATTGGGAAAATCATTTCATAACTACTAGATGCACAGTAGTAAAAAGCTTGGTTTTGGACCACACCATCTTAGAACAGGTCATTGATGAGTCATGTGGCCTCAGGCAACTTACTAACCTTTTAGAGTCTCTGTTACTTCCTCTGAGTACAGGGCTGATGAAACCTGCTTTAACCTGCTGTTTCTATGAAGACTGAATGAGGTCATGTATGTAAAACCTTTAGCACAGAGTCTGGCACAGAACAAATTGTAGCTCTTTTTCAATAGAAGGATGTTAAATAATTTGATTTGGAACATGTCATTGACTATACAGGTAAGCCATCACCAAGCAATTTTCCCTTGACCATCACCTGCATAATACACGGTTTTAATAGCTTATTATAGCATATTATAATGGAGCCATTGACTCATTTACTACTGAGTCTGATAGCAGTAAAGCCTGCAAAGGCCTTTTTCAGGCAATAAGAGAAACCCACATTTCCCAAAGTATGATAGACGAAGCTGCAAAAATTATTATTTTGGCAGAAGTCACTGCATTGGAGAAAGACTCTGAGAAAGTACAGGTTATTGTCAAATAGCCTCAGAAAATGGTGGTTAATGAGGATAAATAGTCTCTGAGGGGCTGGGGTGGGCACAGTCCAGTGCAACCCACAATGAAATACTTGATCCCCCTGTCCGTATAACACAAATCCTAGTCTGCCACATCCTGACCTGCACAGGAAGGCAGATGCTGCCAGGACTGAAGGCTAGAATCACCTAGTTATGGTGACCCCACCTTGGCTCCAAACAACCTAGGCCACTGAGAGAACTGCTGAGATCCAACCAGATAAGACAGAAATGCCAAGGAATTAGCAAGCTCCTGACAAGTGCGGCTCAGAGCAGGGATATCTCTACAGAAAATCAGTGCACAAAGATGCCAGAGAATCACTTACTTACCTGCAAGGGTTTGCGATTTCTTCTGCTGTTGTTTTCATAAAAGGGGATACAGGTTTTTCCACAAAGGAGCCGAAGCCCAATCTAAAGTTGCTAGTTAATTTAGACATCTCCTTGGAAAGCAGGGAGCCCAGCTCTTTGATTGTGTGGAGGTCGTCGTCCATGGAGGCGGAGAGGTCCATGAGGTAATACAAATCCACCGGGTAGTCCTCGGTCTGGCGGACGTGCACTTGCAGCGTCTGTTCACCACCTGCCAAGCCCCAGCAGGAAAGCAAATCCAGAAAAACTCACTGAGATGTATTCACCATTAGCCAATCACTGGGTCAGCTGGTGATTTCATTTCAATAAGAACTTGCTGAAGATACATATTATTTCATGAGCTATGTGGTAGTGTTTATAAATGAACAAGCCCATGAATATCTGCCAGCCAAGAGCTTAGAACTACTGGAGGAGGTATAAGTTAGGATATTTTATATCTCCTTGGGAGAACTAGCGTCCATTTAGATGGAAGATAAGCTGAATTTTTTGTGTTTGGTTTTAGAAAATGAGAACCAACTAAAGGGGGAGTTTAAATCTACATTACAACCCTTGAGGAAATGTGAGGTAAGCCTTAACAACATGGGAGTAATTCAATGGTTACTATTAGAAAAGGCTTCTTTAGTAACACATTTGGAGCACATGTGACCAAGGTGAATAAAGAAAAATGTTAGCCTGCAATTTTCTATTTCCTTAAGAATGGGAAATCTGAGTCATAACAATCAATGACATGTAATAGGGTACAAGACACATTAGTGGAAGATCAGTATTACCTTCTATGACATCAGATTATTTACATGAGACAAACCATAACATACCTGGTCTCAACTTAAGAATCAAGCTTTGAGGCTCAATCTGAACAATGTCAGAACTATTTTTCTGTCTGCCGATACTGAGAGGCTTATTTTTAAGTATTTCCACTTGGGAGACAGGGTTCTCTATGAAGTTTAATAGACATCCTTTGGCTAAAAGATTTTCTGGGGTATCACACCTTTCACCAGCTCCAGATGGATGGGTAAAATTCTAAAAGAGGAAGAAAAAAAAA